GTAAATAAAATGAAAACTCCTGTTGTGTTCCAACATAAGTGAAGCTCCTGATCTGTGTCTGCAGGATTGTATGCATTACACTGATCCCTGCTCCTGATAACATGCTCAGTGGTGTACTGTGAATGACAGGTCACCTGACAACAGAGTGACAATGCTGACCAATGTAGTCACTTCATTTAGAGGATTTCTTCATACATGTGTTGAACACCTCAAGATCAGGAAACATCTTGTTTCTAGTCCCTCATTACTGGTCATAGCTAACGGACCTAATCTTGCAAAACTCTCACCTGTAGAACACACCTGTAGCAAGGTTACACTTTCACAGCCTCATATCAAAGCATCCACTCTGCCAGAGGTTACGACTTAAGATCTGACAGAGCACACCAGAACAACAGCAGGTGAAAGTCAATATGTGTTCACAGTGATATGCATGTAAACCCACCAAGCCATGCAAACAATAAATCAAAAATTACCATTTGCCCTAATGATAGGACTATAACAAACAACTAAAAACAGTTTTGTAGCGGACTCTAGGCACATAATTCACCATGCAGTAATATTGCCTTGCTTTCCTGCACTTATGTACTGTTCCATGTTTATGACAAATTTGTGCTTGGTGGGCGGCCGCCTTTCCTGTCTATCTCCAAGGATCTAAAATCAAGGCAAAAGCCCAAAAAAATAAAATTAAAAATATGTTCTTGGTTACTCAACAATCCTGAATACAGTATCTTACTCAGGCGTGTTAAGGACACTGCCTCTTTAAATGCGACATGCCCCGTTCATTTACACCATGGGCTGCACCATGTTGGTGGTGAGAAAAGTTCAGAGCCGCGATAAATGACACGTGGTTGCATTGTTGACGTGAGAAATTGCCTCTTCATCTGTTTATTGCGATTTCCACACTGGTGACCCTGATGTGGAAGCTTTCCATGAACTTTCCAAACAACAATGATGACGAACGCTATGACTTTGAAGTTGCCAGAATTCTGGAAGTCGTCTGCCTTAGTGTGGTTCACCCAGACTGAAGCGCAGTTCTCCTTTCGTGATATCACTGTAGATGCCACCAAGTACTACTACATTGTATCGGCGCTCGGCAGTTCTACAGCTACAAGAGTGGTTTGCTTCTAAAAAAGTCCCCCGGTGGACAATAAGTATGTGGCACTCAAGACTCACCTTCGAAAGATTTGTACTCTCCAATGCTGAGAGGACCAGTCGCCATTTGTCTTTGCAAGGTTTGGGGGACAGCAAGCCCTCTGAGCTTATGGATAGAATGCTGTATCTCTTGGGGGAACACAAGCCCGACTACCTATTCGTCCAGCTCTTCTTGAGACAGCTGCCTCCGCAGGTACGAGCCGCTTTAGCTAACACCAGCATCACTGACTATCGCGGCCTGGCTGAGAAGGCTGATCGTTCTTTCCTGGCTCGCCAACACCATGGCATGACTCCTGCTACGCTCTCAACTTATACAGCTGCTGCACCAGGCCTGAATTTTCCCGTGGCTGCACCTGTCCCGGATGACGCAGAGTTCACTGCAATGGCAGTGTCATCCTCCCAACGCGCTGAACAATGTCAGTGTTTTTACCATGCACCTGGCTGGTAAGGTCATCTTTTCCAAGGTGGACCTCGTCCATGGCTATCACCAAGTGCCCATACATCCCTTGGATGTCCCTAAAACAGCCAATATCACCACTTTCGGACTGCTTGAATTTCTTAGAATGCCGTTTGGCCTCAAGAATGCCACCCACTCGTTCCAACGCCTTATGGACTCTGTTCTGCGTGACCTGCCTTTTCTTTTTGTATACCTGGATGACAGTTTGGTGGTGAGCACTTCCACCTCTGAACACCTGTCCCACCTGCGGACTCGCTTTGATCGTCGCAGTCAGCATGGACTGATTGCCAACCCATCTCAGTGCCAGTTTGGGCTGACCACTATTGACTTCCTGGGACATCAAATCAACAAAGATGGGGCGTTTCCACTACCGTCTCAGGTGCAGGTGGTGTTGGATTTCCCGCAGCCAGTTACGGTGTGGCCACTGCAGAAGTTCGTGGGAATAGTGAACTTCTACCATCGCTTCATTCCCAAAGTTGCCACCTTCATGCGCACGCTACATGAGGCTTTAAAAGGCAGAGCTCTGAAGCACTTGGTGGACTGGTCTACAGAGAGAGTTGCTGCTTTCACAGATGCCAAGACCGCTTCAGCCAATGCTACAATGCTCGCACAACCATCACCTGGGGCCCCCATCGCAATCACTACGGACGCCTCAGACTGTGCTGTGGGCGATGTGCATGAGGTAGGTGGGGCCTGGCAACCACTCACTTTCTTCAGCAGACAACTGTGCCCCAACGAACGTAAATACAGCACTTTTGACCGGAAGCTGCTGGCCCTGCACCTTGTTGTTCAACACTTCCATTCACTGTTGCAGGGCCTCGAGCCAGTCCACCTGGATTTGGACAGACCTGTGGGCTTGCCCAGTTCCCACAATGGGGGTGTCTTCCAGCCAGAGCTGGATCCCCTTCTGGCCTCCTAAGCATCTCCCCACCCCATGCCTGCCCATCCCCTGTCAGTGTCTCTGGTCCAACTCCAGCAGGAACTTTTGCCCGGCTCCAGTTCAACGTAACCATTGCGGTCAGCTTATCTGTCCACTTCTTCATTAACCTTAGTTTCCTCTGTTTTATTTCTGTCGTGGTGAATTCTGGGGGGGACGTGTGTAGTACACTCTAGGCACATAATTCACCATGCAGTGGTACTGCCTTGTGGTCCTGCACTTATGTACTACTCCATGTTGTGACACAAATATGTTCTTGGTTACTCAGCAATCCTGTATACAGTATCTTACTCAGGCATCTTAGGGACACTGTCTCTTTAAATGCAGCGCGCCCCCTTTGTTTACATCATGAGCAGCGCAATGTTGTTGGTGAGAAAAGTTCCGAGCTACGATAAATGACACGCGGTTGCGTTGTCGACTTGAGAAATTGCCCCATATCCATTTATTGCAATTTCCACAGTTTCGACTTTAATACTCTCAAACTATCAGCGAAATGCCCTGTGACAGGCTGTTATCAGTTACGAAATCAGTCAACACTCTCAACTAGTATATCAGAAAAAGCTGTATCATCACAAACATGTCTATAAAGTGTAGACAGAAAAATTAAACCTCTATGTAATGATGTGTGTCAACGAGTTTGATGAATACATTAACTTTTATTAAAGCATCTATTGGACATCTGATTGGACAACATCAAAGATTGCACTTCCTTACATTGTCTAGACTTACACAGACTGCTGCAGTTTGTTTGCAGTCGTCTGATCTCTTGCTGAAACATTACCTCCATTACTCACAGAATTACCAAGCAAGATGAAAACACTGAACTGTTCCCCTTGTACAAATAAGTATAGAAATATTTTTAGAAGCATTGACAGTGTCAGTCTGAGCAGGCGCATAAATATAAGTCCAGCCCACCTCTTAACGGTCACATCACTCCTACTGAAGCAAAGTTCAGCTACAAACACTGATGTGGTGGAGTCGTACTGTACACACCATGGGGAACTTTACCTTCATAGCTGCTTTACTCTGCACCTTCAGTAAGTACATCGATCTTTTTGTTTCTCACCACAGCTGCTGGCTTTCTTTCTATGCATTAATTAAACAAAATTCATGAATGTTTGAATGAAAAGTTCATGAATCCATTGTTTCCTTCAGGTTGGATCTCTGTCTCAGTTTCTGAGTTTCTCACTGTGGAGGTTCAGCCTGCTCAAGAAGTCACGCTGATGTGCAACAACTGTACTAGTTTGGCCACAATCATTTCCTGGTTCAGAATGACCAATGGATCCAATATGAACTGTATCTCATATATGCTCAACTCTGAGAGCAAAGCTTTGCTCTGTGATGGATTTCAAAATGGGAGCTTTATAATGACATCCAACATCACAAACCTCTTTCTGAAGATCAAAAGTGTGGATGTATCTGATTCTGGACTCTACTTCTGTGGATGTTACAAAGAAGGACATTCAGCATTTGTGAGTCCAACATATTTAAAGGTTCAAGGTAAGATTCTTGTTAAGTGTTTTGTGTCTTTTTGCTTGTGTGTCCCACACTGTGAGGGATTTCAAAATGAATCATTATAAATGAGCTACAAAACTGCTACTGTCTTCTTTAAAAATCAGACCAGTAGATTTATCAGATTCTGGACTGTATTATTGTGGATTTTACACAAATTCACACCCAACAGTCAAAGTAATACACTTATATCATCAAGGGAAGATTTACAGTAAATTCTGTCTTTCTATTCTGTGATTTCCGTGTTGACGTAATTTCAAACTGAAAAATATGTTTAGAATTTTAGTGACAGCTGCACATGATTTCCATTCATTTCAGGCGACAGTGAATCTGACGATGACATCGACTGCATGTCTCAAAGTAAAGTTTCATTCACTTCCTCAAATGTCAGTGAGATCACAAGCCACGGAAGAGAACATTTACTCTGATTGTTCATCTCTGTTGCAGAAAAGTCTGATGAAAATACAAACCTGATGGTTGTGATTCTGGGTGGTCTGACTGTTTTCCTTGTGATGGTCATCATTGGTCTGCTTGTAAAAATCAAGAAACTTCACAGAGGTACTGTTTAAAATCTAATAGATCCCATTTGAGTACATTGTTCAACATGGTAGCACTTTCTAACAAAGAAGGCTTTACTTGCTTTATGATATTTGAAATAAACTAATAATCCAGAAGTACGTCAGTAATGAGCTGAAGTTTTGAGTTTGATGGTAGAAAAAGTATAACTGGACATGTAGTTCATCAGGAACAACCGAACAGATCTGTCTTTATAACTCGCAGAGCAGCTGGAACAAAATTCATGAACATTTTAACATTTACACAAGTAGAGTCGATGGATTGTTG